TGGGATTCATAATGGCCATGTCAGAGACTCTGAGCCTACCCTTATAGACTTTCTGTTTTCGAACCCCACATCCTTCTATGTATTAATGTTGAACTTCTTTCGCACCGTACATAGAAAACCACAATAATCGGACGGACGAGGGAAGGACAAAAAAGAAACACAAAAAGCAGTTATAAATAAATGAGTTTTCAATCTAGATTATTTAAAAGTGCTTCGCTCCAGTGGCTTCCTAATATCGTGAAGAGCGTTCCAGACGGCCGCGGAAGAGCATCTGGAAGCGCGGCCGCGGAAGAGCATCTGGAAGCGCCGTGCGATGCGGTTGAACCTCTCTGTTCGATGGCCCATCCTAAAGCCGCCAGTTCACGTGATGGTTTTCCATGGTGCCCAACGGCAAATAGGAATCAAAACAAAAACGGTGTACAGTGTTCCCGTGTTATTCACGAATCTGCCATGCGCGAATGTGGCTATCCGCGAAATGCATCCGGAACCCTACCCGACTGCATCAAGAGAGAGAAAGTGATGAGCGATAAAGTGATGAGCGATAAAGTGATAAGATTAAGTGGTGAGAGAAGAACGTGGTGCTAGAAAGTGATGAGATAAAGTGATGAGAGATAAAGTAATAAGATTAAGTGACGAGAGAGAACGTGACGAGATAAAGTGATGAGAGATTAAATACAGCTTTTAGTAGGCCAATATCATTAACCACGAAATGTTCCAGTCACGAGCATCTTCGGAACATATCTCTCGTTACAAATCACGAGGGAAGCGCTCTGAACAGAATACAGAAGTACATGGAGAAATCACATCCGGGTGGCCAACCCCGTGTTTTAGCGGTAATTATTGGGACCTTTTGGCTGAAAAGAGGACGTCAAATCCACACCCCCAGCCCAAGGACCAGATCCGTAACGATCTCCACAAGCAACCAAAAAACCACGCTCGCGTGAAAATGTCTGAACAATGTCACCTCAAACCCGAAAAGATCGCGCAATGACGGGGCGCTTGGTGAAACTGGGGCGTAGGAAGCACGTGCGCGACTGACCGAACAAACATCAATTCTAGATTTGAAGCTTTCGTGACTGCAAGGATCCATACTCTTTGGTTCTATTCGGTAAAGTCCTCTAGACAGTCTGGTCCCTTCACCTGATGAAGGCCGCTTGTGTTGTGGCCGAAACGTCGTGATTTTGTCGTTTTTTTTTAGTGACTTTACCGAATAGAACCAAAGAGTACGAACAGACTCCTCTTCGAATTTTGACTTAAAACTTTCGTGACTGCAGGAATTCGCATTCTTGATTCTCTCGGTGAAGTCACGTAGATAGAAAAAAATAAAAGTAAATTATTTTGTTTGATTATTGTTACTTTCATTTTTTCTATCTACGTGACTTTACCGAAAGAACCAAGAATATCCTCCTGTTCGGCACACTAGGCGACTGCGGTTCCCACCAAAGACAACGTTCTTTGTTGACATTTTCATTGTGCAACATTTTGGCACCAGACATCCCCCTTGGTTAAGGCAGCCCACGCAGGTGGTGAGAGACGGCGACACGAGTCGTGAGCCGTCGGAGCGGACTCAACCGCGGTAAACGAGACGATCACCGTTACATTGCATTTATGGCTTTATTTTGGTGATTTCTAAAAGTTTTTTGGTTTGGCCATGTTTGTGTTTATTGTAGTACGGAGTAAGACTGATGGCCTTAATCTAAGTTTTGTTGTTGTTGTTTGACTTGCATCCCACTGGGATTTTTGCACACAGCGTTGGTGTACGGTGCTATTTCAGGAATATTTTGATGTTTTTTTCTGGCTTTTTTGTTTGCACATGCACAAAGTCACTTTAAGATGTTTTCTTGTTCATGTTTTTGTTTTTTTGTTTGTTGCGGTTGCACCCGATTCAAGAGCCGAATGGCTCACAGGGCTATACCAAATAAATGAAATGAAGCTATGAACAATCTGAACAAAACCTCTCTCGCCTACTTCAGCATTTTTTCTTGACTGTGGTTGTTCCACCTAAAGAAGATTGCTTGTGTTGCGATCGAAACGTCGTGATTCGTTTTATTTTATTTCTACCTACGTGACTTTACCGAAAGAACCAAAGAGTATGGATTACTGCAGTCACGAAAGCTTCAAATCAAGATTTAAATCTCTGGGAGTTGGTTCTCACAAGGCTGATGAATTTGTTTGCCAGAGGCACGAGGTTTGATGAATTTCGTTTCAACCGAGTAACCGACATCCCTCTCTTCCCTTTGCCTGACCCAACATGGTTCTGAGAAAAAAATGTTACGAATGATGAACATCGATATTTTAATAGACCAATTGTCCGTTTTGTGATGAATATCCCTAACTGGCGGGTGACTTGCAAGCGAATACAAAAACAAATTTAAACGGACAGCTCTGCATGCGTGAGGTCATGTTTGTTTACTCTAGGGAACCGCCTTGTTATACAAGTAATCACATCGTCACCATTGACATCAACATTGTTATCATCACTACCAGGGGCGGAGCCAGGGGGGGGTGACAGGGGTGACATTCTGCGTGTAAGTGTACGACACTCGGTCTGGCGAACTCCGTGCAACTGCATTGTCAGAGTGTGCCGCCAACCGATGGCGTCTAGTTCAACAGCCTGACTCTCTCTTAATCATTCTTGAAATTAACATTTGTTGAATGTCACCCCGGCCTGAAATCCTGGCTCCGCCCCTGACTACACTACACTATACACTACACTATACACTACACTATACACTACACACTACACTATACACACGTCATACATAGGGGCGGAGCCGGGGGGGGGGGGGGGACAGGGGTGACATTCTGCGTATAAGTGTACAATACTCGGTCTGGCGAACTCCGTGCAACTGCATTGTCAGAGTGTGTCGCCAACCGATGGCGTCTAGTTCAACAGCCTGACTCTCTAAATCATTCTTGAAATTAACATTTGTTGAATGTCACCCCGGCCTGAAATCCTGGCTCTGCCCCTGATCACTACCATCCCTGTCACTTCTAGATTTGAAGCTTTCGTGACTGCAAGGATTCATACTCTTTGGTTTTTTCGGTAAAGTCACCACGTGGGTACAAAAATAAAATAAATTGTACAGCCATTTCCATTTCTTCCAGTGGGTTGTACCCTTTTTCGAGTACCGCACACCATCACTTCCCCCGAACCCCCTGCAGCATAACAAAAGGTGGCTTAACAGCCCTCACCACCACCCACGTACCTTCCTGGTTCCTTCACCCCCCCCCCCCTTTAACCTGTAAATAATCTCGGGTGTCTTAGAGCTCTTCACTTGATAGAGCAATTTTGCTGTGACTGTTCCACCCGAAGACGGCTTCACTGTTTCATTACCTCTGCATAGAAAGTGTGTGTGGCAGAGGCGAGTGTCTTCTGTGTGCTGGTTATAGCATTAGAGAGATATACAAAAACGGACGTGCAAGCATGGAAACGCTCTGCTTTGTACAGCGCGTGATGACTGCCATTCATCTGCTGCTTCTGTTTAAAGCTCAAGGTGAGTCTGTTCAACAAATGGCCTATACCTCCTCTCTCGTAAGGCTTGCTTTGGGGTTGTAGCTGTGAAGATGTATGAGTATTTATGACCCGCACTAAGCAATTGATTCACTTGTCCGCATACGTATCTACCTGCCTACGCATTATCACTCATTCACCTCGAGTACCTTCCAACTCGCCTACCTATTCACTGACCAACACCCCATCCCTTTGTCAGGGATTAATAATGGCCATGGTAGATACACTGAGTCAGCACAGATGAGGTTCTGGGTTCAATTCTTTGGTCTGAGCGTCTCTGAATTTCTTACAAGGAATGCATAATGGCTGTGTGAGGTCAGTCATCAATCTATAAGCCTTGGTTTTCAAGTCAGCAAACAGGAAATGACCACACCACTCTCCTCATGCGCCATGCTGCCCTTCGTAGGCGCTTGCTCACTCACAACACTTAACCAAAACAGTTCGCTAAGTCTACGCGGGGATCTCTGTTTTTGTCTCTTTGCCGATACAGGTGTCCAGAATATTAAATCGGAGATTGACCATGACAGCGAAGTATCCGGTCGGAAAGGAGGATACGTTAGACTGGGCTGCGTCTATAAGGGAGGTGCGACCGTCTCCCAGATATTATGGGCAAAGGAAACAAAGCAAGTGCTTGTGAACCTAGCAACTTGCCAGAGTGATGATACTAGTTTTCTCTTTGATGGTGAGTTCAAACGGCGCCTGATTTTCGTTGCCTGCGGAATTAACGATGGCTCCATCACAATCAGTCAACTGAGCACCTCCGACAGCGGTACCTTCATCTGCAGATTCATGACAACGTCAGGGAATGAGGAGGTGAAGATCGACCTCGTCGTGCTCGGTGAGTTCAATCAACAAGCGGTGTTCATTTCGTTAATAAGGCAA